ACATTTGGCTAAAAATGAGAAGACCTTATTTTTTGGTATAAGTTTCAAAATTTGACCTTGTGTTTTCTAGTAACCAATGAGAGAGATATTTGGGGAAGAAAAACTGTTTTAAAAACCCTAACTTCTTAGATCTCTGCTCACTTAATTAATAGGTTAGCCTCAACACAGACCAGGCAAACCTATAAAAGTATCTCATCCAAAGTGTCTTTTTTAGCGCTGTAGGCTTCAGAGTGTAGTCCCTGGATACCTTCAGCATCTCCGAGCTTATGAGAAATACCACTTCTTGAGCTCTGTCCAGACCCACTGAATCCCAGCAGCCCCCTTTTTAACAAGCCCTCCAGGCCATTCTGAGGTTCCATGGGGTCTGAGAACCACTGCTTCTGAAAGAAGACCACCACCTTGCCTGTGTCTGCAGTGCCAGATGAAAAAGCTTTCCTGGAAAGTTCTGGAAAATACATGGGTGTGGGCCAGATCCCTCAACACATGATCTAAGGATTATCTGTAAACTGGACCAAGATCTCCATGCTATAGTTAGCGTCTGGAGTGGCTTCTGAAGGCCTGTGTGCTGTCTCTGATGTTAGTAGAGGTGTAGAGCCTATAGGTAGTGGGCTTAAGTGGGGGGACCTTCAGATCATTGGGGAGCTTAACTAGGTAGGTTGTGGGGCTCCATCCTTTCCTTTCTTTCTAACTCCCCAGATCTGAGGGGAATAGTTTGCGCCACCAGACGCTTCCATCATGATGTGCTCCACCATTCAGGCCTAAAAACCACCTGCCAAACCCACCGACTAAAATTTCCAAAGTGTGAGTCAGATCACCCTTTGCTCTCTGTGCTCTTTGCTCGGGTATTTGCTGTGCTGGTGAAACTCACTGCCCCCACTTCATGGGGAAACAGAAAGGATTAACTAGGTAACCGAGTGGGGCTCACTAACAACCTCCGCCCAGTCCTGGCATGGCCTTCTTCACCTGTTCCCTTCCTTCTCGGTTTACATAGCTCTAACTAAAAACAGACACACCAAAAGCCAGTCATTCCTTCACAAAATATTCAGATATCCTTTTGCATATCGTTTTATTCTGCTAGTGAGCAGAAGTTCTGAAGACTGGAGGCACACTTGATGAAATGTGTGGGTTGGTAAACTCAGTGACAGAGCAAGGGTTTGGCATATGGGTTCTGTCCCCAAAGTATACAAACAGTTGAGAGATTCGGACCCCCCTCGTTGAGTTATTTAATTTCACTCAGAAAAGTACTGTAGCACTTATTTTAGAATGTCTCACCAGTATTCCGGAAACATTTAAACACGTTTCTTTACTTGAAAACAAAATGAAAAGAAGAATGACTGCTAACATGTCTGTGTGCTTGTGTCTTGGAGGGAGGGGAAGCTAAGAGAGAAGCCATTGTGACTCAGAAGGAAACAGTGACCTTAGCTGAGGAGAACTCTAGCAGCTTAGAGGTGTCAAGATCTTAGCAGATAGTAAATAAGGTCAGGAGGGTTAATGAGTCTCCATCAGCGTTCAGGATGAAACTGTAGACGGGAAGGATACAATAGAGAAAATCAGAAGTGCTTCCTAAAAGCGGAAAGCGTAATTCCCGACGGTGAGGTGTTCTAAATGTCTATACTGATAAGCACCAGCTTTGTCTTGTCTTAGCGCTTTTTGGAGCCCAGATCATCATGCACCTGTCTCTTGCTCCACCAGGGGGCGCGCTGGTTCTCCGGATGCGGTTGGCCAGACCCGCCTGGAGTTTGAGGTCCCGTCATTCTCTGTATAAACAAGTTACGTTCAAGTGTTTAGGATATAAATTACGACCATGCCGGCTGCCTTGGAAGGAATGTAAACACAGCACTGTGGTCGGAGCAAACTCTGAGACTGACTTCATAATTTATAGCAGGCCCCCCGAGTAACTCAGAATAAAGGACAAAAAGCGGGGAGGGGAGTGGTGGTGGAGAAAATACTCTATTTAAATGCAAATATGATAATGCAGAAACAAAAGTGTTTAACTCCGTGCTTGTTTTTTTTTATTTTTATTTTTAAATACAGGAAAGAGGTTTAAGGATTAAGAATATGGCTAAGAGTTTTGAACCCACCTCAGGTTGAGATTCATTGAAATAATAATTTTAAAAAATTACCGCTCTCCTGAGTTACCAATAAGTGCCTGGTGGTGGACTGAAAGGAAAGAGAATTTCCCACTCGAGAAGCAAAAGCAAAAACAAAAATCTAGCCCTGAGTTGGAGAGAAAATCACTGCATCATGATGAAAGGTGAACATTGCTCTGCTCCCAAGGCAAGTTATTCTGGGTGGGAAGTAAATCCTTCCGCCCCACTGGACTATTTTCTCGTTTTTATCCCGTGTCCTGCCAGTTCTGTGGGCAGCATTCAGGATTGGGAAACCCAGCAAGAAGAGACGCAGAAGCTGTGCGATCCTGTGGGAGCCTTTGTGGAGGGGTGCCAGTTTAAAGCCTCAAGTCTGCTCCCTCTAGGTCCCTTTGATCTGACCACCACCCCAAGCAAACTGCAGCCTGGGTGGGAGGTGGGAGGCTCTGAGGCTCCGGGTGGTGGCTCACTGCTCTGCCCTCACATCTCCCAGCTAGAGGAAGGAGCAAAAGGGCAGAACTCCTGGGCACAGGAAAGGAAACAAAGGGGCACAAAGCTTGGCTTCCTCAGATCAAACCCTGGGCTTTCAGTATCTTGCCAGCTTTTGCTGTTTGGGTTTTTCTGTTTGTTTTTTGTTTTGGGGTGTGTGTGTGTGTGTGTGTGTGTGTGTGTGTGTGTTGTTGTTGTTGTTGTTGTTGTTAAGTCTCTTTCACCTTCTGGTTTTTGTTTGGCTAGAAACAGTGAGAGTGAAGCAGAGAAGGGAATGACGGAAGTGTCTTCTCCCCGAGAAGACCCACAATCAGGACTGGCCTGGCTTATTCAAAACAGAGACCTCACATCATGTCAGTTATACAACTTGGGGGTGGGCAGTGTGGAATTGCAAGGCTGCCTGGGAGGTGTGGCCATGACAGGGTGACTGCGGAGGAAAGGGTCCCTAAAACAACTATTTGTTATACACATTTTATTGAAAAAAAAATCTTACATCAAAATATTTTTTGGCAAACTGTAAAAGTATACATAAGTGCAAATATACCCTCCTTTTAAAAATACAAGCGAAGTGTGAGTATACGAAGATCATAAAAATATCTTTAAAATACGGTGGTAGAAAAACAACCTTGTAGAAATGTTGTATGGTCACAATACTGAGAGCCGCTTTCGTAAACCAGGCTCCCTGGTTCTTCATTTCTTCACCACGTTCTTTGGCACCTGTATCCGAAGGGAGTGGTGGGGGTGGGGGTGGGCAAAATCTCCTACTGGGCCAGGTAACTAAACAAGGCTTTCTTGAAATACTGTGCTTTTAGCACTGCCTGTTTGAAAAGCACACACACACACACACACACACACACACACACACACACACGTACACACACACCCCTTTTCAGACCCCATCAGTGAACGCAATGACCACCCAGAACTGAAAGTTTATGTCTTACAAGTAGTAACGTTTTACTGTCAGCTCCTCTCTCTGTCCCTCCTCCGGGTATTGCCTTGCCAACAGTCTCCTCTTCCACGGGTGGGCAAATATCTGGCGAGCAGGGCTCCCCTGGGCATTTGTCTAAGTGACGGGCGTGCTACTTACTGCTATCCGCGTGCACAGTATGTGAGTCTGTCGTAGTTCCTAGCTGCCCCTCTCGGAGGGGAGAGGAGGAAAGGCCGAAGAGGGAGAGCAGCCTTCAAGGGCTCTGTCCATTCACATAACACAGGGCTTAATATCTTGGCACACGCTCTGGTGGTGATGGTGATAATAAGAGCCACTAGCGGAGGGGTGGAAAGAAGAAATGCCGTTGAAATTGAGGACGAAATCTTTTCTGTCACACACTGGAGTGGAGTGATGCTGATAACGAGGCAGTCCCACTGAAAGAAGAGAGGAGAGAGAAAAAAATCGTTTCAGTGAAAGTCACCCAGATGATGGTGGGACATATTCTAAAATTTCAATTCAATTTGTGGTATTTTGACGGAAGGGTACAGAAGCAGCTGGTTGCCTTTGGGTGTATGACTATAAAACCGGCAGGGGAGGAAAAACAAACAAAACAAAGCAAACAACCAACAAACAAAACCCCCAGCTCAGAGCTCCCTGGAGCCCCAAGACGCCAAGCCCTGCTTTGGTTTTTAAGAACTCCTCCTTGAGAGGTGTTCTGTTCCCTCTCTTGGACTCGGAGACCTCTTTGCCAGGCCTGGATTCAGGCTGTGCTGGGCACAAGTACCCTGCCAACACCTCCCCTTCACCTCTGCTTTTGAGCCCTGCTTTCCTGTCTCAGCTCTAGACGCTGGAAGCAGAGGGCTGTCCCCATCGTCCACAGAGGATGACAGAGACAATGCCCTGAAGGAGAAGGACCTGGGAAGAGGTGAGGGGAGCAGCCCACTTCCCATCCTGGGGCAGCAAGGCTTCTCCGTAGGTCCCCAACCCTTTCGGCCTTGCCTTTACAAGCCAGGAGTTTAGGGAATCGAGAAGTGCTCCTTGCCCGGGGCATCTAGCTGCGCACGGAGTCCCGGAGGGTACTGGCCGCGCGCGGTGCCTGGAGGCCTGCGTCCCGCTGCCCAGGGCTTGAGTCTGTTCCTCTCAGAACCAACCTGCCGCTCACTTTTGCTTTTGCTTTCTTGCCCCCCCCCGGGGGGGGGGCAACGGGCTCGGGGCTTCAGTGCGCATCTCCGCCGCGTGGGTAGGAGTTTGCGAGGTCTTCCCCACGCACCCGGTTGGTGTGATCCGCACCAGCCGCACGCCTGTGTCACCCCCAATGCGGTTGTAAGCGGAAGAAAAGCGTTATGTGCGGCCCGCGACGCATGAGCCCTACGGGGGCACAGGCCACTGGCCGAGCGACCAGGCCGCTCATCGGCGGGATGTGGCTCGACCTCAGCGGCTACAAGGGACCACTCAGCGTGGCTCGGCTCCCGAGAAGCGGCCCAGGTGAGCGCGGGCGGGGGGACGGCGGGGTCCTGCTCCGCCACCGCTGGGGCCAGCGAGGACCTGTGCTCGAGCCTCCACCCCAGGTCGCCGCTGGCGCTCGGATGGATGGGCCGCGATGGACCACGTACACCCGGCTGGTGAGGCCCGCAGGGCTTCGCGATGAGCGCTGACTACTCTGGGCCCCGGCGGCGGGTCCCGCTGCCACTGCTTCCCTGAGGACACCGCCTCCGCCTTGGAAAGTGGAGGGCGCGGCGCGTGCGGGTGCGCGGTGGAAGGAGGGCGGGTGCGCGGTGGAAGGAGGGCCGTGCTGTGTGCGTGGCGATGTGTGTGCTGGGGGCTGCCAGCTGTCCCTGGGCCACCGCCTCAGCTGTGACTGGCCTCGCGGGACCTTCCAGCTTCAGTGGGCCGCAAGTCTTGTGGGCAGCATTCGGAACCAGGCCCTGCAGGGTCCCCATTTACAACGCGGGGGCTCTTTGAAATCCCCCTCATAAGGTCTTTACTGGAGGTGACAAAATCAGAAGACTATTCTAGGAAGAAAGGAGGGCAAATGCCCAGGTATAAAGGGCAGCAGGGCCAGATCGGCCTAAGCTATCGCTTGCGGGGAAAGGCTAGGTCAGGACAAGGCACGGGGGGAAGGGGGGGCAAGAGACCTGAGGCCCGCCTTCTTGGCTGGACAGTTCTCATGCTGTCCAAGTTAAAGGTTAAGCCGCCATATCCGGGGACTTTTGGGGGTTTTGTGCGCGGCCTAGAGTGCGTGGCATGGGGTGCGGACCTAAAAGAAGGGTCAGAAATCTCTTTCCTGCGCTTTTGCTAGTTTGTTTCTTCCTAGAGTATAGATTCCTGACAGCTGGGAAGCCTGGGAGTCTGGGTTCAAGGTGAGCTAGGTCCACCCAAAGGGAAGGACAGAGAGGACAGGGCCAGAGCAGTAGGCCCAGGGAAGGGGGAGGGAGGCATAGGTTCCAGTTCAGTGTGAAGGAGGGAGACTGACAGCCAGCCCGTAGGGCGGGAGGTGGGGGTGGGGTGGGGAATATGAGAGAGGGTCATCTGTATTGGTTACTTGTTGAAATTCCCATAAAATTGAACAAGACTCTGTTCTCTGTGGGTTAAGTCAGCCTAAAATCCTCTCCCGTGTGGTCCTGCCTAGACTGTCTTTGTTTGGTTAACCTCTGAGACCCCCAGTTAAAAGGCTTATTTGGGAAATTTCTCCAAGATCTTTTGCTGTTTCTCGGCTTCCCCATTGCCCCAAGCTCCTGTAGCACATGTAGGCACAAATATATGAAGTTAGGCATCACCCTGTGAATTTCTGATCAGGGTGGGAAGTGTGTGGGAGACAGCTCCTTTGGGTTTTGCCCTTGACAGACAGGCTCCCAGATTTCAATCTGCAGCCTGTGGGAGCCTCGGGGGAATTAATAAGGGTTTATCGCTATCCTCTAGATAAAGTTAGCCAAACACAAAATTCTCTCCTCCGCTCCCTCCTCTCCTCCCACCCTTCACCACTTTTCACAAGTCAATAAATTTTCATAATCTGCAACCCACACAGCATAAACCAGCCACACTACAAGTGGCCTCTAGGCACATTTCTTAGGGGTATCACACCAGGGCACCCATGCCCTAATGCTCAGGACAAACTTGTGTCGTTAACTAGATCCACTGTGCGTGTGTGCGTACGTGTGTGTGTGTGTGTGTGTGTGTGTGTGTGTGTGTGCAATGACTTTGGTGCCTCTCGTCACTGGCAATGTCCTTGAACTCGGCTTTCCCCTTTCCCTGCCGCCCCCTTTCTTTTCTCTCTCAGGTTAAGAGTTCTTCCTCACTTGCTCTGTCATCTACCTTTGGCACTAACGTAGGGCAAAAGGAACTTCGAAAAGAGTAGGGAGACCAAAATGAACCAAACCCAGTCCCTCCACCCAGGTCTCCTAAAGTCACATGCCTTCGTTCAGAGCCGAGTCTGGCCTAATTGGGAGAAAGTCCGCAGTGTCCTGATGTAGGCCAAGAAGGTTAGGACTTGGCACCACCTTTCTCCGGTCTGCGAATTCTGGAGCCCACCAACCGGCCCGCGGAGTATCAGAGAAGGCTGTAAGATCAAATCCTCTCCTCCCAACCAAGAATAGGGTGCAGAATCCCCCACCACCAACATCCCAGCTCCCTAGACCCCAGCGGTGGAGGCGGAAGATGCAGTAGCCCCGGCCTTTAGGCTATGGCTCCAGTGGGCCCGGGCACCCTGTTTTACCTGAGAGATCCTCGCGGGCGTTCTGGTGCAAGTAGCTCTGCTCCAGCGAGTAGGAGGACATGCTGGGGTGCAGGCCAGCAGAGGCTGCGGGGTTACTGCTTGGCGTCAGAGCAGGCTGCTTGAGGTAAGGTGAGGCGCCAGGCGAACTCCAATGTGCCGCAGGGCTAGTGTAAGGCGAGTGACATTCTATTGCGCTCGCCATGGCCGGGGATGAGGGCACTGGGCTGCTGCTGCTGTCCGGCCCATAGTCACCGCCACCACCGCTGCCACCCGCTCCTGCACCGACGCCCGCAGGACCTGCGGGCACCGGACAGCTGGCCATATAGGTGGAGCCCGGGTTGGGCGACATGTGGGGGACGTGGTGGTGGTGGAGGTGATGTGGATGCGCGTGGCCCGGAGCACCCGCGCCTGTATCATAGCCTGCGGGCATCATGTCGAGGCCACCATAGCCGCCCTGGCCGTGGCAACCCAGAGGCGCCGAAGGAGGCGCTTGGAAGTCGAAACCCTGGGGCAGCAGCGAGGCCCCGAAGCCCAAGCCGCTCACCACGCGATGGTACATGGGCTTGAGCGCCTGGCACTTCCGCCTGAAGCCGCGGGGCCGCCGGCGGAACGAGCCCTCCTCGAACATGAACTCACTGGCCGGGTCGATGGTCCAGTAGTGGCCCTTCCCGGGCCGCCCGAGGCCCTTGGGTAGCTTGATGAAGCACTCGTTGAGCGAGAGGTTGTGGCGCACGGAGTTCTTCCAGCCCTGGTAGGCGCCACGGAAGAAGGGAAAGCGCGCTTGCAGGAACTGGTAGATCTCGCTGAGCGTCAGTCGCTTGCTGGGCGAGCTCTGGATGGCCATGACGATGAGCGCGATGTACGAGTAGGGCGGCTTCTCGGGCCGCCGCAACCCCGAGGTCGCCTTCTTGGTGCCCCCGCTCCCGGAGCCCGCGCCGCCGCCGCCGCCACCCGCCGCACTCTTGCAGGCACCCGCCGAAGCGCTGACCGAGTTGGAAGAGGACGAGGCACAGGAGGCAGAGGATGAAGATGACGACGACGAGGTGGTCTCCAGGGTGGTGGCGGGCGGCGGGCTCATCAAGGCGGCC